TCTATCTATCTATCGTCTTCTGGTTGTCTGTCTGTTCGTCTGCTGGTTGTCTTTCTGTCTGTCTGTCTATCGTTTGTCTGTCTGTCTATCGATTGTCTGTCTGTCTATCGTCTGATTGTCTGTCTGTCTATCATCTGATTGTCTGTCTGTCTATCTATCGTCTGATTGTCTGTCTATCGTCTGATTGTCTGTCTATCGTCTGATTGTCTGTCTATCGTCTGATTGTCTGTCTATCGTCTGATTGTCTGTCTATCGTCTGATTGTCTGTCTATCGTCTGATTGTCTGTCTATCGTCTGATTGTCTGTCTATCGTCTGATTGTCTGTCTATCGTCTGATTGTCTGTCTATCGTCTGATTGTCTGTCTATCGTCTGATTGTCTGTCTATCGTCTGATTGTCTGTCTATCGTCTGATTGTCTGTCTATCGTCTGATTGTCTGTCTATCGTCTGATTGTCTGTCTATCGTCTGATTGTCTGTCTATCGTCTGATTGTCTGTCTATCGTCTGATTGTCTGTCTATCGTCTGATTGTCTGTCTATCGTCTGATTGTCTGTCTATCGTCTGATTGTCTGTCTATCGTCTGATTGTCTGTCTATCGTCTGATTGTCTGTCTATCGTCTGATTGTCTGTCTATCGTCTGATTGTCTGTCTATCGTCTGATTGTCTGTCTATCGTCTGATTGTCTGTCTATCGTCTGATTGTCTGTCTATCGTCTGATTGTCTGTCTATCGTCTGATTGTCTGTCTATCGTCTGATTGTCTGTCTATCGTCTGATTGTCTGTCTATCGTCTGATTGTCTGTCTATCGTCTGATTGTCTGTCTATCGTCTGATTGTCTGTCTATCGTCTGATTGTCTGTCTATCGTCTGATTGTCTGTCTATCGTCTGATTGTCTGTCTATCGTCTGATTGTCTGTCTATCGTCTGATTGTCTGTCTATCGTCTGATTGTCTGTCTATCGTCTGATTGTCTGTCTATCGTCTGATTGTCTGTCTATCGTCTGATTGTCTGTCTGTCTATCATCTGATTGTCTGTCTGTCTATCTATCGTCTGATTGTCTGTCTATCTATCTATCGTCTGATTGTCTGTCTATCTATCTATATATCTATCGCCGGTCTGTCTGTCTATCTATCTATCGTCTGTCTGTCTATCGTCTGATTGTCTGTCTATATATCTATCATCTGTCTGTCTGTCTATCGTCTGATTGTCTGTCTATCTGTCTATCGTCTGATTGTCTGTCTATCTATCTATCTATCGCTGGTCTGTCTGTCTGTCTATCTATCTATCATCTGTCTGTCTATCGTCTATCTATTGATCGTCTGTCTGTCTATCGTCTGATTGTCTATCTATCTATCGTCTGTCTGTCTGTGGACTTGTTTAGTGTTAAACATCTTGTACAATTAGTTCGAGTTCATTTTTCATATTTTTCTTTATTCTTTTCAGCTTTTCCTTTTCTCAACACTAAGAATTGCAGCAGCAGTAGAATTGTTGAAATGTCTCTGAATCACTTTTAATCCTTCACTGTAATCCTTCACTGTAACCCTAAGAAAAGGATATCATAGTTGCTGTAAACCACTTCTATTTTAAGTAAATACTGTTCTTTAAAAAAAAAATTATTCATCTTGAAAAAGATTTCACTAAACAAAAAAACACTAATAAATAAAAACAGGGATGTATGAGCAACATAAATGAGAAGATGTGTAACACACACGTTGGATTGAGCGAAATTGTATTATTCTTCCTCTAGAGGGCGCTGGATGGCTCAGAAAATGACTAGTCCTCCATTCAAAAACCTCTGAACATGTTTGTCACACAGGCATTCGTATAAATGCCAAGGATTTATACCTCACATGCAAAATCCTACCCTGACTGAAATGTCTACCAAAAAAAATCTTATGTAGTAATTACAACGACTGCGATCAGTCCGCCTTGACAAGCGCTGAGAAAAGTAACAGCTACATGACAGCAGCAGTTTCAAGCAGAGCTTTAGTAACACATTTGTTAATAAATAGAACCATTACTAGACCCGTTCTACTTTAGAGAGAACATTCACTGCACTCATTCCTGTCCTATTTATTCATTATGTCTATGTATTGGATAAAACAATCAGTGCTGTTATCTGCACATAACCGCTAGATGGAGCTGTGGGATTAAACATTGTAGTATAAACTCAGCCTGCTTCCGTTATCAATGCAGCCACGTGTCTGCGTGCTCATTCTGATTCAAAAGCCTATAACATGCAAGCATGATGTATAAAATATTACTACCCCTTAAGCGAATCAATAATCCGTGAGAATTTGGAATATGCTTATTGTACCACAATCTTGTATGTGAAATGCATTGGAAGGGATCAATCTATAACAATGCATTGCTTTCAAAGCACTCATCATCGATAACTAGGTTTGCAGTATGAAACATTTACACTGTGAACAGGAAGCAGTTTTTCTGTATGCATGGCATGTGCCGCTAATCCCACAATGCAATGCGCTCGCCTTGACCTTCACTTTCCCGCCTAATGAAGGAAGCGCAAGTAATTACAGCTGCGATTTTACCATCTCTTTGAGCCTACAGTGTCCTATATTTGTGGAGTGTGCAATTATTCCATTTC